GAGCCATTACACAAAGTTTAAACAGACCCCTATCAGCATACCCCTTACCCACATACACACCATTTTTGGTTAACTTAAATTTATCTGACTCAAACACCAATCGAAAACCATGCTTGTTCAATAACCAACCCGGCATAAGATTCTTACGAATTTCGGGTACATACAACACATCATTCAACGTCAACTCTCTTCCTGACGTCATCTTCAACACAATCTTTCCAACACCTTGGATATCAGAAGTGGCCGAGTTTCCATGAGCATCTTGTCACCATTATCCACATCTTTGAAGTTTCTGAACCATTCTCTATTCGAGCAAACATGACGGGTAGCTCATGTATCAATCCACCACTGCCTTGGATTGGACTCCACAAGATTAACTTCAGAAATAACCGCTGCAAGATCGATGTCAGAGACATCTTTGGTTATCTTTTCCACAACATTTTCCTCTTTAGCCTTCTTTGGAAGCTTGCAATTTGCAGCCCGATGACCCCGTTGGTCACAGTTATGGCAGTTTCCTTGAAACGTTTTCTTAAACGTTCCACCTTTGACTCCCAAGTTTGAACCATTGCCTTTCTTTTGGAATTTGCCCTTCCTAGATTTGTTCTTCCTAGAAGTTTGACCATGCTCCATCACATTAGCTTTCTCAGAAGTAGGGGTATAACTACTCTTTTGAGCTATCTTATTGTCCTCTTTAATTCGAAGGCGAACAATAAGGTCCTCAATGGACATCTCCTTTCTCTTATGTTTCAAGTAATTCTTGAAATCCACCCAACTAGGGTGTAGCTTCTCAATCATGGAAGCAACAGAAAAAGGCTCATTAAACCCCATACCCTCGGCATGCATGTCATGTAGGAGGACTTGTAGTTCTTGGACTTGCGAAATAACAGTTTTTCCATCCACGATTTTATAGTCAAGAAATCGGGCAACCACAAATTTCTTTGTCCCGGCATCTTCAGTTTTATACTTTTTGTCCAATGAGTCTCATAGTTCTTTGGTTGTCTTTGTTACACAATACATATTATAAAGTGAATCAACAAGACCATTAAGAACATAATTCCTACACAAGAAATTAGAATTTTTCCAAGCATCAATAACTTAAAGCTTTCACATCTCCTTCTCCTTCGGGCATTCGAGGAGCCTCTTCAGTTAAGAATCTAGCAAAATTCAATGTGGTAAGATAGAAGAGCATCTTTTGCTGCCACCTTTTAAAGTTCAGTCCAAAGAACTTCTCAGGTTTCTCAGCATGATTGACGGGCATGGTCATCATTAGAGCTCCTTGAGCATTAGGAGTACCATTAGGCTTTGGTGGTTGGGAACCTTCACCAGTAGTCATGCTACAAAAGGAAGAAAGTGTAAACCTGTTAAAGATTAAAATTCAATAACAACTAAAGTGTTAAGTATTGTCTATTTCCAGAAAACAGGTTCTGAAAAGCTGTGAAACAAAAGAAAGAATCTCAAAACTGTTTTAGAAAACAGTAACAAATTATGGATGCAATAAACTTAAACAATTAAATTCATGTAAACAGAAAAGCAGAGAAAAAAAAAACAGAAAATGTCATAGAAAACAATTTCTGAAAACAGATTCTGCAAGTGTGAGGGAGGAAAAAAAATCGTTTTTGTAAGAACTGTAAGATGAAACAGAAACAATTTTTTTTTCAAGTTCGTTTCGCACAAACGATTTGTTTTAAGACTGTTAGGAAAATATAACCCAAAAATTATAGGAAAGAACAAAACCATAAAATTCTTGACTTTGGCCTGTGTTTAACACAGTTTCCTTAAAGCAAATTCGCCCTATATGGGTGTTTGTTTCCAAGGATACAACAGTAGAAAGCAATTCTTCTAGATTGCCCGAACCCTCACTTGGCCCGGATTATACCTTGGTTGCAGCAAAAGATAAAAGATGAACCAGAAGCGTAAGAGAGGAAGATAGTGATTTCGATTCATCCTGTGTCTTGAATCAGTCACATGGGCGTTGTAAATATACTAAACAATGTAACTGATGTAATTAAAACGAAATCGTAACTGTCACAATTAAATAAGAAAATTAATCAAGAAATCAAAACAGAAATCAATGATTAATTGCTCTTAATTCGTTTTAGTAATTGTTAACCAAAAGGAAAAAATGTCCTTGAACTTTTTTGGTCGCGCGCTCGCACACAAGTTCAGTGGCACAAAGCCAATTTGGCTCGCATTTGCACCCCCTGCGTGCGCAGGCAAGAGAGAGTCTTGGTTCTAATAAGTCTTACAAAGGTAGCTAGTCTTTGTAGTTATAAACCAATTTCCTTTTCATTCTCCCACCAATGTGGGATGAGTTTTGAATCCCACTTAACACCTTTATTTTCTCTTCCAATTGCCCTACTTTAACAAGTAATTTCTCATTCATTTTCAATCCGTTTTGGACGTGTGATATATCAAAACAAAGATGTCACGAAGGAGAACACAAATATATAATCAATAACTCGTTTGATTATATTTAGAGTCCAAAATTTGTGCTAAAAAATGGAGAAAATCCATTTTTGGAAATTATTAAAATTAATTTTCCAACATATATATTATTGGGAAAAATACTAATCTAATCAAATTCATTAATGACTTCTCATTTTTTAGCCAAAATTTAAGACTTATTTCAAAATAGCCATCGAAACCGTAGGTGGTTAAAATGGTCTGCTGTTTCGCCCATTTACCTACGGTTTTGATTTTAGTATATAAATTTTTTTTTTTCATTTTTCACTACGAAACCGTAGACGAAAAAATGGTCTACTGTTTCTTCTGAGAAGTCTACTATTTCCCAAAGAGTAGATTAAAAATGATATACTGTTTCGTCTAAAAACCTACGGTTTTGCGGTTTTTTTTTTTGGTATTTGACTACTAATTCATGTATTTTGACTACTATATCATACCTAGTATATATTAAAAGAAAAATCTCTTTTAGAGTAAAAGTTAGTGTTTTTTTCATCTTAAAAAAATAAAAAACTCAAAACCGTAGGTTTTGGACGAAACAGTAGACCATTTTTAATCTACTATTTGGGAAACAGTAGGCTTCTCAGAGGAAACCGTAGACCATTTTTTCATCTACGATTTCGTAGTGAAAAATGAAAAAAAAATCATTATATACTAAAATCAAAACCGTAGGTAAATGGGCGAAACAGTAGGCCATTTTAACCACCTACGGTTTCGATGACTATTTTGAAATAAGTCCTAAATTTTGGCTAAATAGTAAAAAGTCATTAATGAATTTGGTTAGATTATTTATTTTCCCCATATTATTTGTTTAGGTAAAGAAACATAACAAGCAATTTAGCTTAGTGGTAAGCACCCTACATTGTTAGTGGGAGGTGGGAGGTTCGAATCCTGTGCACCCTATTTCCTTATGATTCTGTGAATATTTAATATAATAAAAATGATCCGCCCACGTGACGTGTCTACCGCCCACTCAGCACACACGTGGGGAACGCATGCGAGTGACCGGTTGAACTTGTTAAAAGGGTAAAACCAAAAAAAATTGCAAATTTACAGTATAAACGAATCAGAATTCTGTCAAAGGGTAAACCGCAAATTCCTGACAAACTGTCTTTTCCGTTTTTCATATAACGATGCCCACTCAGCACACATGTGGCGTATGTGGGTGACCGGTTGAACTTGTTATTGCAAATTTACAGTATAAACGAATCAAAATTCTGTCAAAGGGTAAACCGCAAATTCCTGACAAACTGTCTTTTCCGTTTTTCATATAACGATGCCCACTCAGCACACATGTGGCGTATGTGGGTGACCGGTTGAACTTGTTAAAATAGTAAAACCGAAAAAAAAATTGCAAGTTTGCGGTATAAATGAACCAAAATTCTGTCAAATGTTAAAACCGCAAATTCCTCACAAACTGCATTTTCTCATTGTTCATATAACTCTTGTTTGCAAGGATGTTTGTACATTTGACTGTAGTAACAATGTTATTAAGCTTGACTTAATAAGTGCCTTTCCCACAAAAAACTCCTCTATCCTTATGTCATTCAAGCGTTACACATGTTTTTTTTTTTTAACTATGTGTTTGCCTTCATGGCATATTTTAGATTTTAAAAAAAAATCATCTTACATATCCAAATAATGTTAAACTAGTTGAACATAATTATGTACAAAAATTGAAGGAAGGCACGAAGATAAGTTTACACATTCATTGCAAAAATTACTATTCTACCATGTTATGTGAAGTGGGCGTAGATTAAAAAGAAAGAAAGCAATAAAAAACCGACGGGAGAAAACAACTACACAAAAACGGGTGTTAAAGCTGTTCTAAAATATTAAGCTCAGAAGTGCCAGCCGGGAATCGAACCAGGGTCAGTATCGTGGCAGGGTACTATTCTACCACTAGACCACTGGTGCTTTTGTGTTATAATCTCGCTAATTTCTTTACTGTCTGTTACATATCGTTAGTTACCTTTGAAAAATGAATTTCAAGTTTTTATTCACGAATCTTTTAGTTTCTTATCAATGATCGACATATTTCATACACATTCGAATACATTATTGAGAATACTAACCATTTTTTTTTTAAAACGGACAAATCTAATGAAACACTAATATATGAAAAAAGAAAAAAGAAAAAAAGATCTCCACGTTCTTGGTTCTGCTTATGCTCAATCTTCTTATTTTCTCAGACGACAATGTAAAAGCGATCATATCATGTAAATGGAGAAGCATGATTAGTACTAATAGTCATTTTGGTTTTGTCGCAATGGAAAGAAACATCACCAAGCATCATTAGTACTAACAGCCATATTTAATTTGATTTTATTGATAGTATCTTGACCTCTTGTGATCTTGTTGTAAATAAATAAAAAGAAAAATATATATATATTGAAAAAGGCAAAAAGTTAAGGACTGAGCTTTTGACTTTTGTAAAACAATTTATGTAATTTTGTCTATGTATTATAGTTGGACTAAAAAACTACATGTTTGCTAATTATAACACCTTTAGTTCAAAGGTTTTGTTTCTTACAAAGATTGTCCCTAATCCAAACTAGATTTGCACTCTTCATCCCTCACCCCATCCCCAACTGCCTTTATGTGGCTTCCATTTAACTCCTCCTCATATGCCTTGCACATGTAAGTAACATGAGGGCATTTTGGTATTTTCACACGCTCACACATCCATTGTTATAGATTCCCTCCCTCCTCTTTGTTTGTACAAGGCTATATAGAAAACCTTATTATAAAAGAACGTACGTGTAATATTCCTCATAGGCTTGCAAGAGGCATGTTATAGAAGGTAGCACGACACAAGTAAGTCAATATTTCCTTATCCTTTAGCTTGAACTCTATAGCAACTACTGTCAGATTCCTTCCACTCCTCACCACAGATGCATCAATCATCACTTCTGCCTGTTCATTCATATACAAACAATTTGCATTTCAATATCATATCAACACTCAATACTCTCGTCTCATGATAATAACAACAGCTTTAATTGGATCAAACACATACTTGGTTCACAGCAGCAGCTAGATAAGAGACGCTCAATTCACCAAGAAAAAGCTCTTTATCTTTGTGGACAACAGTTCTTGCACAAGCTATGGCCACAATCTCTGCTATTGATCCAACTGCTCCTCCATGTAAAGTGTTATACCTGTTCTGCACAGTGCCAAACACCCTTACCCAGATAAGTGATTGAAGAGATTCCAGAACTATAGAGCAACTAAAATTGGGATTTCAAAAGGGTTTTGGAAGTGAGTATCATTCTTTTACGTTAAATTATATCGATCGTATCAACTATGATCTTGATATATACTTTGACCAAATTTGAACGTGTAAAACTAACCACAAATTACAGAAGGAAATTCCACAAACAAAATTCCAGGTTATCGAATAGAATAATAACGCAAACAGAAAATTTCACGGAAGAAGTGAAATCACAGCTAGAGAAAGAGAGAGAAATTACGCAAACGTATGGTTTGACGGTGAAGATGCAGGTTACACGGCCGCGATGGATATGTTGAACTTTGAGCAGGCTGCGGATCAAATCGGAGTGGACTCCCTCACCTTCGTACTTCGCCGGAAGTACGAAGCTATCGCCGGCGCTCATGATGATTCCGTTGACCTTTGCGACGGTTTCCGAAGGCATCTCTCTAGATGCGACGCTTGCCGCCATTTCCCCAAATGGATTTTCCCTCTTGCTTGACAGATTTGCGTCTACCACTAAATCCTTTACTTTTATTTGATGTGCAGTTCCAGTTTTTCATATTTAAACCATCCGTCAATGTCATGGCCCCAAAATACGAAAAAAAAATAAAAAATCGGTCACACCAATACATAAGAAAAAATGTTTCATAACATAAAGTAAAACAAAAATACAAAAGGTGTGAAAGCAAATTTCATAATGTGAGTTTAAAAACTCGTTATAACATACTTTTAGGGATTGTAGTAACCGTAAAGATAAATATTTAAAGTCTATCATACTATACTTATAAATGAGACATTTTTTCTTAAACCTCATACATTTGAAACCTCCATAAAAATTTGCAAACACCTCATGCATTTGAAACCTCCTATTTTAATGAATACCACTCAAAAATCTCTTAATAATGATTAACAATTCAAAGGTTTTATAACTTATATAATATATTTAATAAACAATTAATGGATAGTCTACTATAAAAAGGTCAATCTCTTTGAGTAGACACACAAATACAAATCACATACAAAATTCACAAAAAAAACAAGTTTAAAGTTTTTTGTGTTGGTTTGAGGGCCTTCAACAATTTTTGAGCCATGTTATTATGTTGAAGTTTTTAATTTGTAAGTTTGTTATATACTAATTCTTTTTTGTATTTTTTTTATTTAAGTATTCTTTAAAGAATATCATTGTATGTTGTGGTTGAAATTTTAATGTAAAATTAGATTAGATTCATGTTATCGATCATATGTTATGGAAGGTGATATATATAATATTTAATTAACTATTGTATACATGTTTGTATGTTCATGTTGCTTCAAAACAATAATTAATTAAAAATCATGGATATGTCATATTATCCATATAATCAATGCAAACTTTTTTTAAAATGCAAATTATCTATCTTATCACTTTATATTTTAGTATATGTTTAACATTTTAATTATAATAATAAGTGTTTTTTAAAAGTTTCTTTCACTTATTAATAATAACAAGTGGTTTTAAAATTAATGAGCAATAATTATAAATAATAAAATAAAATAAAAATCATGGATATGTCATATTATCCATGCAAGTCTTTTTTGAAATGCAAATTGTCTATCTTATCACTTTATTATTTAGTGTATGTTTCATTTTAATAATAATATTAAGTGTTTCTTAAAAGTCTGCTTTAACTTATTATTAATAATAAATGGTTTAAAATTAATGAATAATAATTTTAAATGATAAAAACATCAAATTATAAATTACATTTAGCTATAAATAAATTGTATTTTTAATGAACATCATTATTGAAATTAGAAAATGATCGCATAAGTAAAAATATAGTTAATCAATAATAATAATTGTTAAAAATTATACTAAATAGATAATTATATTTAATTCTATTAATGAAAAATGTGGGTTGATGTCAATGAATATTATTGTTCAAAATAATTGAGATTAACATATTATCTCAAAGTTAATGTCAATAACATAACCATTTTAAACATATATTTTTCAATATTTTAACAATATATTTTTAACCTGTGCTGCGCAACGCGCGGGAATTCATCTAGTTGTCTTTATACCTGTGTATCTTCTCATGGTTTTCGTATGCCCCAAATCGCTTCACTTTTCTTTTCTTGGTATTCCTGCAATCAATATTTTCTTTTCAAAAACCACCAACATCATATATACGGTAGGAAGTTCTTATCTGTTGTATTTTAAATCGGAAAGACAAACAAGCAAATTGACAAATAATATTGAGAATTATATGTTGATAGTTGCAGATAATAGATCCAATGATTATTATTATAGTTACAAAGTTTCATCCTGAAACTAGATCAATCATCCGCGATCAGATCTGATTATAAGAAATGTAAAAGAAAGATTGTTCTGTTGTCGGACGAAATTAAAATACGGAACAGTAAAGTAAAACCAACCTCATAGTTGTTGATGTCGACTCGTGTAAGACTGCACGGTGTTCGCGGTGCGGTTTAGACTCAAAACCACAAACCGCACCGCATATGCGGTTTGAGATTTTCGGAAACCACAAACTGCACCGCGAAGGTTCTAAACCGCATTATGCGGTGCGATTTTATGCGGGCGGTTTTGCGGTTTTTGTGCGGTTTATGCGGTTTTAAGAACGTAAATACTTAATTTAATTTAAGATTTGTAGAATATTCTCTATAATTATCTTTTGTTTTGTCTTTTACTTTAAAAATTTTGCAAGATTATTTTTTACAACCTTAAAAATCACAGCTTTGCTTAACAATATAGTATATCATTGATAAATTTTGAATTATATTAAATAGAAGTTTTTAACTTAGCTTAACAATATAGTACATCATTGATAACATTTGAATTATATTAAATATAAGTTTTTTAAAAACTCACGATTGATACTAGGTAATATAAACACAATCAAGCATATGTACTGTTAAGTAGTTGACACCTTTGTTTATTAGTAGTAAATTTCAGTTAATTTCTATAGTTAAAAACATTGATAAACTAACATTGCTAAGCATATGTACTGTTGTGTGCTTTGACTCGTTTGTTTGTTATCAATAAATATTTATAGTTAAAAACATTGATAAACTAACATTGCTAAGTATAATTAAAGCTAAAATCATGATATATATATATATATATATATATATATATATATATATATATATATATATATATAATGCGGTGCGGTGCGGTTTGAACTGCGATTTTGTAACTATAAACCGCAAACCGCACCACATAGTGCGGTTTACAAAAATTACAAACCGCAAACCAAACCGCGGACGTTCAAAACCGCATTATGCGGTGCGGTGTGGTGCGGTGTGGGTGGTTTATGCGGTTTGTGTGGTTTATTGCACACCCCTAATATATACGGTAGGAAGTTTTTATCTGTTGTATTTTAAATCGGAAAGACAAACAAGCAAATTGACAAATAATATTGAGAATTATATGTTGATAGTTGCAGATAATAGATCCAATGATTATTATTATAGTTACAAAGTTTCATCCTGAAACTAGATCAATCATCCGCGATCAGATCTGATTATAAGAAAGTAAAAGAAAGATTGTTCTGTTGTCGGACGAAATTAAAATACGGAACAGTAAAGTAAAACCAACCTCATAGTTGTTGATGTCGACTCGTGTAAGACTGCACGGTGTTCGCGGTGCGGTTTGGTGCGGTTTAGACTCAAAACCACAAACCGCACCGCATATGCGGTTTGAGATTTTCGGAAACCACAAACTGCACCGCGAAGGTTCTAAACCGCATTATGCGGTGCGGTTTTATGCGGGCGGTTTTGCGGTTTTTGTGCGGTTTATGCGGTTTTAAGAACGTAAATACTTAATTTAATTTAAGACTTGTAGAATATTCTCTATAATTATCTTTTGTTTTGTCTTTTACTTTAAAAATTTTGCAAGATTATTTTTTACAACCTTAAAAATCACAGCTTTGCTTAACAATATAGTATATCATTGATAAATTTTGAATTATATTAAATAGAAGTTTTTAACTTAGCTTAACAATATAGTACATCATTGATAACATTTGAATTATATTAAATATAAGTTTTTTAAAAACTCACGATTGATACTAGGTAATATAAACACAATCAAGCATATGTACTGTTAAGTAGTTGACACCTTTGTTTATTAGTAGTAAATTTCAGTTAATTTCTATAGTTAAAAACATTGATAAACTAACATTGCTAAGCATATGTACTGTTGTGTGCTTTGACTCGTTTGTTTGTTATCAATAAATATTTATAGTTAAAAACATTGATAAACTAACATTGCTAAGTATAATTAAAGCTAAAATCATGATATATATATATATATATATATATATATATATATATATATATATATAATGCGGTGTGGTGCGGTTTGAACTGCGATTTTGTAACTATAAACCGCAAACCGCACCACATAGTGCGGTTTACAAAAATTACAAACCGCAAACCAAACCGCGGACGTTCAAAACCGCATTATGCGGTGCGGTGTGGTGCGGTGTGGGTGGTTTATGCGGTTTGTGTGGTTTATTGCACACCCCTAATATATACAGTAGGAAGTTTTTATCTGTTGTATTTTAAATCGGAAAGACAAACAAGCAAATTGACAAATAATATTGAGAATTATATGTTGATAGTTGCAGATAATAGATCCAATGATTATTATTATAGTTACAAAGTTTCATCCTGAAACTAGATCAATCATCCGCGATCAGATTTGATTATAAGAAATGTAAAAGAAAGATTGTTCTGTTGTCGGACGAAATTAAAATACGGAACAGTAAAGTAAAACCAACCTCATAGTTGTTGATGTCGACTCGTGTAAGACTGCACGGAGGCCAGAGAAGCTCCTGTCCTTAAAGGTTTTTACGTCGCTATAAGGTTGTAAGCTTCAAAGTAAAACCCGAGATTTGATGTAGAATATCCCTCGTTCCAACAACTATAGAAGAAAAGATAAACGCAAATCGATTACTCGGATAATAGAAGAAACTGGATTTTGTGTGTGGAATGCGGATCCACGAGAGCTGTATTTATAGCTGCAGACACCTTAGAAGGTAAGAAAAAATCTGGATATGTGACGAGTATGACCCTATCACGGTTCATCATGTGTCATGTCAAGTCTCTCTTTATCTACAACTGCTTGCTCTCCAAGCAACTTGATTTTGGAGGCTTCTAAAAACTTCCACGACTCTATCCACAAAGTCAACGAAAGTCAACACTGGGTAGGTTCAACCCGAACTCGCCAAAAACGAATACTGCTCAGCTCCCAACGACGGATGCGTCGTGTAAAATGCATCTAAATTGCGTCATTTCACACACTCACGTCTACGGCTAGGCTTGGCGTGCATGTTGTGACAACCCGAAATTTTTTTAAATTTTTGCCTAGTAAAATTCAGCCAGTCAGCTCAGCTGAGTGTCAAACTCATTCCTGCTATCATTTAGACTTGTTTAGAGGCCATTTAAAGGTCCAAAGGTTAGTGCATGCAAGCATTTGAACATAGAAAAAGATCGCGTGCGCTTTTAGCATCAAAACCGGGCCTTACACTCCAATACAAGGAGTGTACG